TGCAGCTTGGCGGCGTGAAATTGCTTCGTTAATTACTTTTCTCAGGATTCACAGATTTCGGAATTATGACCACCATAGCGAAAAGCTTGATTCGTCTAAAGCTTAAGAGAGAGTATTTGGTCATCTGGTTTGGTCAATCTGGGCTAAGCGGTTTTTCAAATCGAAAGGTTCATCCAGACGGACGGATAAATATGTCAAGATCGATTTATCTTGTCAAACATTCTTAAGAATATATTTACCATACATAAGTACTTCATGGGGTCGGTGAGGCTACCTACTGCCCATTACATACATATTCAAATCTTACCCCTTGGAATAATGCAAAAATATATTCTCTTTCTTTTTCTAAATCGCTTAACAGCAAAGTTTTAGCCAACATTATTTATGTAATCGAACTATCACTCCTATTACCAATTGGAATAACCCACTTAATAATAATATCAAAAATATTTGCGAAGATTATTTCTCAGCATTCTAAGAGATTTTGGGTGTCCCTCAAAACGATTTTTGTTATTTTCAAAACTAATACTAATAATACCGCAACTGCTTATGATTTTAGTTGCGTTTTCTGTTATCGGCCGAACTAAAAAATATCTTTTACCTTCAGTGGACGGAACACTTCCTCGTTAAGTGTTTGGCATACAAATCACAAACGACCTCAACTCTCATTTTTAGCTCCCATAAGCAACAAAAACCGAAAAGTTGTATACAAATTTATCAACAATTATGACAATTACCGCGTCCCACAGGCGATGGAGCTTGACATTGGCATTGTAAATAAAACTATGGAAACATTTGCATAAATAACTGTATGGAGGTAATTAAACGAATATAAACAAAATTGACAAATGGGGTACACTCAGCTTATAGATGCTCTTGTATTTCATAAAAATATATAGTGTTGTTCAAGTTCGGCAGAAGTAAAAAAATTAATGAGATTATATAAAGAAGCAGAAGCGTTACATACATATACGATTGTACAATCCTATGAAAGGTTTATAATAGTATAAGTACTTAGCTTTGGGTGTTTCTGCATTTCCTATCACCCTCTCTTCCATACTAAATGGGAAGTCTTGAAACCCACCAGTTGGCATCCATACTACTACCAGTAGCTTTTTTTGCAATGGACTATTTTAATATTTTACACCCACTACGAATCATTTTGTAGCCTCAACTGGTGATTATAGACAAATGCTTTATAAATAAGTAAGAAATGTTAAAGAATAAAATCTTAATACAATATTATTAATACAATATTAAAGTGATTGGATATATTTTAGATCTCCGATCTAACTGAGAAAACTTTAAGAACTTGCAATTACAATCGTCCAGCACAAATAATATAAATTACACAAGATTTAGGATCTCAATGAGCTAAACATAAATACTATATGCATACGTATACTCCATTAGAACCCTTGAAACATAAATCATTAATATTAGAAAAATAATGATAATGAAAAAAAGAGAAAAATATGATTCATAAATTTATTTAAATTGTGGAAAAATTTGAATGGAAATGAAGTAGTTCATTAAATTAAAAATAAATCTAAAGAAATTAATAATAACTATGTTTGCATAAAATCTAGATTAAATATATTATATTAAGTCGTTACTATGTGGAATTTTAACTATTTTAGTAGAGCCCTACGTTATAAGTAAAGCACAAAATGCTTAATGCTCTTGGTGAGAGTATGAACATTAGCTTTTGTTATTATTTTAATTAAAATTCATATACAGTATCCAAGCGATTATAAACTATTGACATACATATACTGTCAATATGGCATTTGTCACTGAGAAAAAAATGCCTTTAAAAAATTTACATATATAAATGAGCATAAACAATTTTGCACTTACGTCACTGAAAGCAACAAATGCTAGAATACAGACGAGGAATGTAAACAGACATATGCATATATATAAGTAGGCATGCATATAAGTAGCTATGTAGATGTAGATGTGTTCTATGACATATAGTATAAGATTCTTGGTGGCCGCTGAGCTGAAAGAAGTATAAGCAGAACAGTCCTCAAGTATCTAGTCGAACTTATCTGGCAAATCAGAATATATCAAATATTTGTCAATAAATTGGCATTATAGAAATGCTATATCACGTTAAACCTTTTCGATCAATGACACTCCAGTAATTTACAAAATAATTGCGCACTCACATTCTAAGTCAATGATTTCTCACGAGATGATGATAATGATGAGCAATGCTTTGATTATTTGGTTGCCAATGGGTGCGAATTAAATCAAACCTCACGTTATCCAGATAGCCAGCCACAAAAAAGGTGTTAATTACTAGCAAAAATACCGCACTTCAATTGATCACAATGTTTCTCAAAAGAGAAATTAGATTTAAATGTAGGCCGGTAATTGTAAGCAATGGAAATTTTTCGCAACTTAGTGGCTCAATTAATTATACAGTGGCTGTGAAGGCTGTTAGCCTCACATGAATGTACATACTATACATAAACATATATAAGTAAGTACATATGTATATAGACTACTTGTTTAGTTGAATTCTAGAACTCTTCGGTTTTTGTTGCTCACACCCCATTGTTTGAACATCTGTGTTATAAAAGCGCCTACATATTGGTCGGGGAGTGTGAATCAAAACTAGTTCTGAGCATGGAACAGCATGAAAAAACCGCAGACGTGACAGAACGATAATTAAATAAATAATGACCAGTTGATTAACAGACTGTTTGGTATCGATTACAATTGCATGTTGTTATATTAGCTAAAGACTAAACCATTAGTGAAAAAAGCTTCCGATTCAAATTGTCGGCAATTAGAGAAATGTGCTCAGTTCTTATCAGGTGGCTAACCTTGAAAATACAAACCTAGACAAAGACCCACATGCACGCACGCTGACAGCCAGAGTTTTAAAATTGATAAGACAACTAACTGAACTGAACCGAACAATATATAGTATATACTTGTATATTATGTATTACGTTACTATTTGCTATTCAATGAAAGCAAATATTCACATTTTTGGCCGTTTTCAGATTATTTATTGCATAACACTAAACGCGAACGAACAAGGCGCGTTTTGATTACATAAACTAAAGAAATCTGGTGCCAAGTTCAATTCGAAATTTCTTATAAAGGTGCACGTTCCAAACCAAGTTCAATGACACTCTTAAGAAGGCCTGCTTGGAGATCTTTCTGGTTTTTTTCTATTTAGAAATGCATTCGTAATGGAGGAGACAGCCAAGAATGTTGTATGCGAAGCATCGACAAATCACCTGATCGGCTTCAAGTTGTTGTGCGTTCGAGAAGCAGACACAAACGACAGAAAATCGGTCTTTCTGACAGACCTTTGCTCACTTCTCGCGAACGTGCATAGTTCTGAAGCTTCTAATGATTTGTTTGCCGCATGGCCTATGGGGTCAGGTGCATTGATTAGGTTGTCGGTACAGGGGAATAAAGGCAGGTGCTGATCACGTAGGATCTCATTTGATCGATAGTTGGAAATACAAAAATATGTAATGACAATTGACTTGTAATAGTAAGCCATTATGCTGATAAAGCAGATCAGAATTCGGAAGTGCATTCATAAAAGATGATAAAGAAATATACTCATAATTTTGAATTTTGGAATAATAGTTGAATGAAATATTAGTAATGGCATCAAAATTATACACAAATATAAATATATATTTATAAATACAGTGTATTTTTGAATTAACCACTACATTGATGTATCTATAATTTATATTTTTATTTGTATTTAAAATTGTTATTACCGAAAAGGTAGCAACAAAAATATAATAAGTAGAAAATGACAATTGATTCATAAAAATAACAAAAAATAATTTTTATTTTTATGTTTTTAAAATTTGTATTACCCAAAAGGTAGCAACAAAAATATAATAAGTAGAAAATGACAATTGATTCATAACAATTTTCTAATCTTCTGAACTTCGTTTTTATACCTATTTTGAAAAGGAGTCTCGAATAGTAGCAGAACAATAACAGAAAAATCTCGAAAGAACTAATATATTCGTATGTATAGTATGGATCTACTATGTTTGCACCTGAGTATAACAATCTAAGGCTCAATCACAGTCTAGAGATGGAGTCTACAATGTTGTTTAGTGACACACGCTTAAGTAAGCAAATGAAAAGTATTTTTTTTTTACTTGGACTAACATCTTGCCCAGAGAAATTTAATTACAGCGCGTACAGTGCACAAACAATATGGCTGATTAAATGGTTAGTCGATTGGCTTTGGTCAGTCAGCGATGTTTTTTTTTTTTGTTTTTTCAAGGAGTGTGCGCCGCAGCTGTGATGCGTGGTTGTTGTTGTTCCATATGAGCAGAGCGCTGAAATGAGCTCACATACACACGCACAAAAGGTAAATACATACATACACATGCACATGGGTATTTTATTGTTGTTGCTGAACAAGAAGCAGAAGGTATAAACTGGCCGGCAAAGACACAAAGAAAGCGTGGGCAATGGAAGAGTAATAATAAACAAACACACATACATGCACGCATAGATACAGAATATATCAATAACAGTTTCTGTAATAGCCAGATTCTTGGCTATATACTATTCTATTCTTTGTCTCTTTGAAACAGTACCGACTTGTTGTGCCAAAAATTGAAGAGCATTTTCATTTTGTTTGTTGTTTAAGTATTTTGACTAACAAATGCGAGCGTCATGAGTTTTTTTTTTTTTTTTTTGTAAATTGTGCGGCAGTTTTCAACAAAATTAAAATAAACACAGACACTGAGGGCGTTGTGTATTTTTATCGCATATGTACACCAAGAAAAAACATCAAAACCACACACATAAGCGTTGAATGCATCACACACTTTTTACATATAATGTAGAAATGACTTCTTTAAAGCAATTATTTTCTAAATGGAAATTATTCAATTGTTTTTTTTTTTTTGGCGCGCACATGTCGTTCATATTTAGATTTAATTACTGCCATATATGTCAATATGTACATGTGTATTATATATTTGCATTACTTCTTTCAACTTTGAGCGTAACAGCGAACAATATTCGGCTGACTGTTGAGCACACCAGCTGCTGCTTCTATGTGAGCAGCTCCTCTAAAAGACGACGGCGAAGGAGGCGAAGACGACGACAGCACGCCCGTTTCGTTTGAGTTACAATGCGCGACTGACTCGAGAAATCGACCGATGCCGGCAGCAACAGCGTGAACCCCTCTCCATAATATACACACGAGTATGTGAGCAGGCAGCGGGGCATGCTGAGCGTATGAAAACTTGGGCACATGGTTGGCATGGGAAACGTGCCCGCTACCAGGTGTGAGTGTAGTGCGAGAGATTGCATGGACTAGTGGTGGGACCGTGAATATTTGTGGAGTTTAGGAGGCATGCTAGGATATGGTCAAAGAATTTTAATATCCCAATACCACCAATATTAAATAAGTATGGAATGCTAGGCGAGTTGGCTCAATTCTAACATTTTTTGTTAGTTATTTCTAAATTTAAATTACATATAATAATATAAAACATAAATATATGACACGTATCTAGATTATACGCTTAATGTATATAGTTTCAACAGCACACTTTTACATCGTCGTTGTATCTATGCGTGTGTATATAGTATGTGTAGTTCACAGTTAAGGCAATACGGCCAAAAGAACAACAGCTAATGGTGTTTGTATTGTTTAACAACCAGCGGATAAGCTTCGGATGAAAAATATTCTTAGCCGATTACTACTTTTCCATACTCCTAAATATATAAACAACTGGTTATGTATAGTTTAATCCTTAAATTATAAAGCATTTTTTCATGGATGGAAAAATCTTTCCCCACCAGAAGAAAATTCTCATTCATTACAATTAATTAAGTTTAGTACCTTTTTTATAAGCGAATTTATATTTGAAATTTTCATTTATAGTTATACTAAAATTTATAAATTTGGTTGCGAATCAGCGTATTGTCTTCCAAAGCAAGCCAAGGGTTTAAAAGATATTAATTGTAATTTGGTTAGATTTGTGGCGCTTACGCCTGTTTAGATTATAAGCTAATGTCGAGTTTCTAAAAAAAAATTGCCCTCATCCCATGTAGAAGAAAAATATAAAAGTTCAATTATAAAATATGTGCGGTGATATCGAGATAAAAAGTATTATTATAAAAAAATCGTTACTTTCAAAATATTAATTGTGAATTAATAATTGCGAATTAATTGCGAATCATTTAAAAAAAGTATATTCAAGTAAACTAAAGTATTTTTGTAAACTATAATTAATACAAATGTTTTGAATTTTGCAAACAATGAATGTTTATTTAAACTAATCCTCTTGCGTATCCTTACTCACGCGCACATTAACAGGCACGCGGCATATTGAACAAATGAGGAGACGTAAAGCGAACCATTGAGTTTAGCGAGGAGAGCTAAATGAGACAGAGAGAGAGAGCCAGAAAAACGTAACTGCACGCGGCAACCAAAGAAAGGTGCGAAGCGGAACCGAAAACATTGTAGGCGAAACAAGCCTAATAAATAAACCTACATCCATATGTATGTATGAACATACATATTTACATATGTATATATATTTACGTATGCACAACGAAACTGCTAGAAGCGTCGAACCATACAAAAACAGAAAACTAATAAACGACAACAAGCTGAAATCTAAACCGGCCCCAAGCCCCAACTTCAAGTGTTGCAAAAATGTGGACACACAACATTGCTGCCTGCCGCCAAACTACGAGCAAGAATAACGAGCAGACTGCAGCAATGTTCGTTCAACTTGTTGCATTTTAGCAGGAAACGCCAAGCCTCCAATCCATGTACAAATTGCAGGTCGCCTACCTTTCATCACTCCAGTTACTTCTATTGGGGAGGAGGTTATGTAAACTGCAATACGTAAATGGACCGTTGACGCTGCAAAATAAAATCTTATCAGTGGCAGAATATGAACATACACGTACATACATGTACATACATGTATGTAAACATGTTGACGGGCTAGCTGTGCGACGAACTGCCTTCGCAACTGATTTAATTGTTGGAGATGTGGAGAGGGTATACGTACTATAAATATGTAAGTATCTACATATGTACAGTGAAAACTCCCTTAATGGACACCTCTTTTATCCGGACACTCTCTTCGGTGGACACTTTTTCTAAGACATTCGATCAGTGTATAAAGTATTTAAGAATCCCCTTAAGCGGACACTCCCCTTGGGCGGACAAAAATTGGCCGACCGTGAGTCTCCGGAGAGTTTTCACTGTACATACATAAAAATATGTACATACATACATATGTTTTTGTTTATATACATATGTATGTATGTATGTATGTTTGAAGCTGCCACTGCTCCTTTTGGCTGTGTGGTGAAAGTATAGGCAGGAGATAGTAGCAGCAACAGGTTATTTGCACTACATCTGGAACATTCAAGCCAGTCAGCCAAGTTTAGTGAGTAATTAGTTTACCGTTTAATACAACAGTCTGCATTTCAGTTATCGTAACGCAATCCTGCGACACTAGCATAAAACCGCATTGGCACAAGGCGGATGTTACAAAACGATTACTATACTATGAACGTTCCACTCTTTAGAACAGAAAGAAAATGTCGAAATTATTATATTTTGAAATAATTACATATGTGCACTGAATAAAGCAAGAAATCTTACGCATATCTCCAGCAAAGTACAGAGATCGCCGGAGCTCTTCATTAGTGGAACTCTTCGCATCACGCCAACTGATGCCCTAAATATAATATTCTCTATTTTTCCTGCTTTCTTTCTCACAAGGGCGGAATTGATAAATTAAAAAAAAAAAAATTTTAAGTTTCCTTGGAATTGGGGTTACTCAATGGCCGGCAGATTTGGGATCCCTTCAAACGACTTCTGCAGAATTTGCAGAGATAAAGAAGAAGTCTTTCTAAACGATTTCACTGAATTACCAAAAATTTAGATCTACATTTTTCAAACGTGCCGAGTGGTTTAAGGCCTACTCTTGAAAAAAAAAGAGATGTATGGCATTACAAGGGACCTCTAAGGCCTAAGTGGGTGGTTAAGTACCATCGTAAGCATAAATTTCTTTGATATATTATATTGATAGAACATATACATTTACTATATATACATAATTTGATAATTCAAGGAGATAGCGTTCACTTCTCCAGCACTTTGTATTGCGCCACCCTTCGCTACACCCATCCTTATAAAGCTTAAGTCCTATTCTTATATCTTTAATATTAATGCATATATTGAAAATTCATTCTTCAATTCATTTATTTTTTGTTTGCGTGTTGAAACCTTACAAATGTTTTTCGTAATAATAGGTAAATATATGTTTAAAAGCTGTGCGTGACTCCATTTATATTTATTTAGTTATCATCATAAAAAATCTCATGAAACACAATAGAACATCGAATAGAAAAACCAAATGCTGGAAAGCAGCATAAAATTCAATAAAGTTCCATAATGGAGTGGGGAGGAAGGAAGCGCTAAACAAGTTTTAGCTTCGATACACAAGTATATATCTTGATTCTAGATATTTCTAAAGCCATGTACGTATGTAGTATACTTAATAGCTTTTTAATTAGCTCTATTAGAAGTCTAGCTTCTACTTCAATAATGTTATAAATTAGATAAAAAGTCAGCAAACCTTTTTCAAATAAGCTAAATAAGAAAAACATTTAACTTTCATATTTTAAAATGCAGAAGTTGTAAAGAGATTGGTTGGGCATGTAACTTTTCAGCTTGCAACCACACAAAAATAAAGTAGAAAAATCAATAAAAGACACATCTGACCAACAAATGTCAAAGCCAAATAATTACTTCTATTAGGTCAAAGCAAAGCTTTATAATGCCGAGTCATGCAACATTCTTTAATGTTATTAATAATAAAAAAGAGGAGGATGAGCAGCGGAGAATTACATCAAAGGCAAAGGCCGACGAAATTTCTTGGCATGAGATTCCATGCGAATTTCCTCGGCGTGTCATTGACAGCATTTAATTGAATTGAAAGCAGAAAAAAAACACACACTTGGTGCAACAAAGGCAATTAGTGGAAGGCGTGTTTATAATATGCGACAATTTCAATTCAATTCAGTCCAGTTTGAACTTGAACTTTGGCTACAAATAAAATTGATTGCAATTATCATTTTATTTACGAGTATGTCTAAAGAAGACACAAAACAAGCAAATTCTCTATTTTTGTAACAGGAACCTAAAGTTGATCAACTGCCGTGTGTCTTTAATAAATATTGGAAAGTTTAGCAGACAGTCTGCTTCTATTTTTAGTCAAAGCCAACTATCTGTTGAACTCTTTCATTTGGACCATGGCAACACAATCGGCTTATCATTTTTTGCCAAAAAATTAATTCTTTTTGCTGCTTTGTTTTGAATTTTTTCAACTTGCTTTAAACATAAACAAAACATGCGAATTAACAATTCCACGACCTACATTCTATGACTTTTTAATTTCATTTAATATGCGAAGCAAAAAGCAAGGAAATAAAAAAACCTCAGCATTCAAAAATAAAGAATTTACTTTATAGATAGACAGACAGACATCATTTTATTTTTTACGTGGCATAAATAACGTTTTACGCTACATTTTCTTATAGTTTTAGAAAATGTTAATTTAGTTTATATTTTCTATGCAAGTTTCTTACATAAAAAGATTACAATAATGGATCTTACGTTTGAATCCAAAGTTCAACTGTCTACTTCTAATATAATCCGTTTCTCTTGCCAATAATCGTAAATAGCCGATCAGTAGTCTACAAATATTAACATTGAATCTATATTTTTTAATGAAACAAAATTTTATAAAGTTGATGCATTCTTTTGTTTTGTCTTTTGTTTGTTTTACTTTTTTAGATTACTGGTATATGGATTGGATTTTATTGAAAAGACATGATAAAAAAACAAGAAAGGAATGCTAAAGTCGAGCAGGCTCAACTCTTAAATACCCTGTACCACCCCACAAAAAAGTAATTTAATTAATGAATTAATTAAATTTAATTAATTAACTAAATTAATTTAATTAATTAACTAAATTAAATATAAAATATTCCATGCATGCATACATACATTTACATTTACATCAGAATCGTGCCTTATGCGTGTTTGTGTACTTGTACATATGTATGTATGCGTGTA